TTTGCTCTTCACTATGGACAATCAGCTTCGTAATGTCTTAATTTGCCACAATGATGACGACCTTGTTTATAATTCTTCACAAAGAATTTCTGCTTCTTTGACCCCTGTGTACCTAAAGTAGCCACCATAGACTTCAGCTTGTGATGTTTATTCCCATCCTTGTGTTCACAATGATCATCACGACGATTCTCAACAGAAGGACTCCTCAAACACTTGTGAGACTTATACTTGTCATTGTCAAGTCAACGAGCAGCATCAAAGAGCTCTTCCAAACTTTTTGTAGGCTGAGAATGACGCAAGTGTTGCCACATGCTCTCACTATGAAGGCCATCAATAAAGTAGGACTTGTTCTGATCTAGATCCTTCGTTGGAACACAACTAATTAAATGAGTTAGCTTCTCAATATAGTCCCCAAGCTTCATTTTCCCTTGCTGAAAATGTTAAAGTTCAGTATGAACATTTTTCATGTCATAGTGAAGGGCAAAACGTAAATGGAAAGCAGCCTTAAACTCATCCATCATAAACACTAATGGTGACTCCTCAAACTAATTCCACCACCAAAGACCCACATCACATAAAACCATTAGAATAGCCACTAAAGCCTCTGCATCTAGAGTTCTTCTAGCAACCAAGAACTTCTTCACATTGGCTAACCAAGTTAGACACTCATCCACCAAAAAAGGTTAGAATCTTGAGTTAATCCACTAAGGAATGTTTACTTGGAGTGCCATCACAACCAACCTCAAGTGCCTCAACACGCTCATGCAAGGTACCCCATCATGCCATACATCTTGTCTTGCATCTCTTGCTGATTTTTATTAAAAGTTCACAGCTCGTGAGCAACATCTTCCATGGTCCAAACCTCTGCAGCTCTGTCAGCACCATCATCGGCACTACCATCAACAATAGGATTCCAATGTTCAACTTAGTCAGCCAACGCCTCTGATACTAATGTTATGACCCGGCATGAAGAATCAACGATCTAGTCTTCCTAGACTAGACTACACCTCCTCTTGAACCCAACCACCCCCAAGCTACCTCAAAAGCTCTTTTGTGCCATCACTTTTAAGTTCCTTACCTAACATGCCTTTATAAACCCTTGAGCCTCCCTTTGACCGATGTTGACCATGTTGTAACAAATTGCCACACTTTGTTGTAATATATCCCTAACATTAGCACTCAAAACATTGAGGTCTTCTACCATACCCTTGATCTCCATCCCCGAACACAAGCATGCTTACTATAGTAGTTTCCATGATCATTATAACCACCTAAAGTAATTGCCATTTGCTCTTCAAATGCTTCTCTAGGTTGAGATAAGCCATCCATATGTTCATCTTTTCCATTTCTTCTTGATAAATTATCTTCTCCAATGCCCTATAAAAAAGAGCTTGGATTGTAACACCTCAAGAAAAATAGAATCAAATGCGAGTAGAGTGTTACCTTTCAGCCACTGCTCGCACCTTGTCCAGGTCCGCAAGACACAACCAATAAGCCATGCATTTGATTCACATGTAGCTACTATTTGGTGACGCTGCTACAAGCCTTTCAAAGTCGTCCTTGGTCTCTGGAGGCTGGTCCTTCTGTAATAACTTCTCTTTTGCTGCAGCCTCCCTGTTGAGAAGCAGGACATGAGAAGAGTAAATATAAACAAGAAGTAACTCTGCTCTTTCGAGTCAATTGGCACTGTATCCTCAACGTCTTTGTTGAGAGTGGATCGCCATGCATAGCTGTGGGAATCGTTTTGATGCCAGATCCAAGTAGTCCTCCTCCTCCCTCTCATCATTATCCATGAGCGCATTTGTCTTTGAAGGCTCTTCATTTATAGCTTCTTCCTCCATCGGCTTGATGCCATCCTCAGGGTCATAACCCTGTGGTTTTACTAAAGCTTTCGTTCTCACCTTTAGAATCTTTACTTGAACCCATTGGCCGACTTTGTAAGTTGTTGACAAGTCTTGAATAAAATCGTAAGACACTTCAGAGACATGACACAAGCAACCTGGAGCACAGACTAAGAACTTGAAACCAAGATAGAGAGAGAGCTTACCACATCGCTCTGGGCAAGGCTGATGAAGATCCCAAATGCTTCAATGTTGTGTATGCGGTCACTAATGATCTCTCCAGCACCAAACTTCTTCCAGCCACTTGAATCTTGTGATGTTGTTGCCACCAAAGACATTTCAATGTGCCCAGACAATGGCTCGATGCTTAAAATTCTGACGAAGAAGAAGATATCAGCAAACACTTCCATATGGAGAAAAGTTCATACCTTCCCGATATCACCTTGCCTGGTGGAAACATTTCTGCAGGGTTTTGTACAAACGAGTTCGATAGGTTCTTCAGTTGAATTCTAGCTTCAAGTGAAGGTGCCAGGACCACAAAACAACCTTTCTCCATCACATTCTTGACAAAACCCTGCAACACAAAAACAAGTCACGTCCACAGCATGCAAGGTTTCTGCTTACTTGCACTTCATATCTTGCTTACGTTCCAACACGGAATTGACAATACGAGCATTGGATGCAGAGTCAAAAAAATTTAATGCAAATCTCGGAAGTTACCTTTCAAGTGTTTGATAGCTCGGAAGGGACTCAAAACCACCACGTCCACCAACTTACTGAAAGTTCCAAGCCCATCTTTCCCCTCCCTGGTCGTTTTAAATCCAAGACCTTACGAAAAATAAACTGGCTGGGTCATCAATCCATGTATCGTTACATGAACTTTTCTGATACTTTCCCATCTGCCTTGCACAGTATGTCTGCCAACACCAGCAAAAACTCGTGTGATTCGTCGGCCTAACAGGTCGCCTTTCTTGAATTGTTCGTCACTTGTTTTCAGGTGTAGAGACAAATCCACATGCTTCCTTTCGTGGTTAACACTTCTTATATGGCACTGGAACGGGTCACCGACTTTGAAGCGCTCTTTAAAACGTTCAAGCTCCGAGGGATCGTCAGACGTGTCCAGTATAAAAAGGCAGCCTTTAAGATGGGGTGAGAGGACTAGCCATGCCCAGTTGTCCTTTACTTCTTGAACGTATCTGATAATCGACTGTTCAATGGTTACGGTCAGTAATCACTGAGCATGCAGCATCGTTTCCTGCAAGTCATGATAAGTAAGCTAATTCAAAGGGCCACCATATAGACCTGCAAGCTCAGATGGACGTAGAGATAAATCCAAAGTGGCAGCATTTCTGTGCTTTCTGCTGGTTTTGCGTTTTGAAAGGATTTTAGCTCGAACAGTCTGCCCAACACTGTATTTTCTCAATGGGTTCCCTTCTTCATAATGATCATGACATTTGAGGAGTTAAAAGACAGACTGGAAAACAGAAACGAACCTCTGTAATGTGCACATTCCCCACGTAAGGGGCAGTGGCTGTCCTTGTCTGCCAGTCCTAGAACTATTGAGTGTTGCAGCCTCCATGAGGTGATTTCGTGGGTGATTTGTGACCTGTGCAGTATGAGAAAGAAGTGACGATTCACAGAAGAATTCTAGAAACATGGAGCTCAATCTTGGAAATGTGATCATGAGCATAGCAGGAAGTTTTGAGCAAGAGGACCTTGGTCTCTTGGAATGCAATGATCACTGCAAATGGCTAAAATGGGAGTCTTTTGAAAGTGCTTAAGCTGTTGGATTTCATTCCGGCATCTTTTGTGAATGCATTGATCACCACCCATGGAAGATCAAGGATCCTAGCTCAAGGAAGAAACATGTTTGATCAAATCTTGTGCAAAACTGTGAGCTCCTGATCACCCATGATCTAACTGTAAGCCCAGTAAGGACAATCCAGCAAAACCTTAATTCTTTGCAGAACTTACCTTTATCAGTGTCTTAGCCACGCCAGCCTAACAAGCAAGATCCAGGAGAACTTTTGTATCAATTACTACAGCCACTTGATTATATTGTTGCCCATGGCATGGAGAAGAAGCTCAAACTTCTTCTATCACTGTGATACTTTACTATGAGGAGCAAGTAAAAAGTTCCTTGTTTTCTGTTTATGGACATGCTATAAAGACAAACACATCAGACTACTCAAAAAAAGTGAACTTTTTGACTAGTAATAATGTTCTTAAAGGAAAGTTTGCAAGATTTTAGTATTGCAAGAGTGTAGGACTTCTTCCTTATATTCTTCACTATTTGCTTTAGGAAGAATAAAATTGATACAAAAGCATTAGTTGAACTCTTTGAGAGATAAACAAGAAGTACTAAAATTCAAAATTATATATGAATAAAAAAATGCATTAAAATGAGTACCCAACTCCTCTAGTGGCTCTTACTTTCCTGCAATGCAACATATCTCCTCCCTCCAACACTCTTCCTGTAGCAACTCTCCTCCATGTCCTCTAGTGCTCCTCCTGCAACAACTCTCTTCCACATTGTACTTTTGCCAATCCTACTCTTGGATTTTTCAGTTTCTTTTTTATTTTCATCAAATCATTATTTCTCACCCTTTAGCTCCTCGAAAACCCCGAGTCTCCTCCAGCACTCCTCCTATAACAGCTCTCCAGCTCCTCCAGCACTTCTCGTGCAACAGCTCTCCTCCAACTCCTCTAGCACTCCTCCTACAACAGCTCTCCTCTAGCTCCTCTAGTAGATGGCTATGCCACGGCTAAGGGCAGCCAAGGTAGTGCTAACCATGGCCGAGACCTTGTGCCACCATGGCTGTGCTTGCTATGGGCCATTGGTGGTGTAACTTTGGCCCTAGCTGTATGGTTATAGATACCACAGCCAAGGACAACATCATTGGCAATCAAGGTTGCCAGTGGTTGTGGCAAGCTTGGCAAAACATTATCTTTTATGTTGAGAAAGAACCAATTCGCAGTGAAAAAAAACTTAAGCGACCCACTTTAAAAATTAAGAAAGTTGGGTTCGCACATTGAAAAAATTTGTGTTGCAAAGTAAACTTATAAGGACTTTTGCATTCGCACATGTCTTAGATTTAAGTGGAAAAACACCCTCGGATTCGCACTTTAAAACAATGCATTCGAACACTTAAAATTCACTTAATTCAAATTTTGAAATTTCAAATTCAAATTCAAATGCTTAGAATTATATCCCGGCAAATTTCAAAGCAAACACGAACGCCACTGGCAAAGACACAGGGAAAACGTGAGGTTCTCTCTAACCTCTTTCACATCCTCTGGACTGTGCAACTCCTCACGAGGCTCCCCTTCCGCTTGCTCAGGATCACTGTAATCAACAAAGAGGTCCTGGTCCTTGAGCCTTTTCACCTCTTTCCTCCAAGCTTGGATGTCCGCCCAAAGATCAGTCTCCCCAACATCAATCAAGAACAACTCTTGATGATGTTGGGAAGGTACTTTGGCTGGATCCTTTGTTTTTGATCCAAGCATCTGAACTTCATTTTAAGAAGTCCAAATGCTTGCTCAATAACAATCCGAGCAAGGTGGTGATGAAGGTTGAAAGCTGCCTTGGATGGTGTCGGGTTCAGAGCTGAGCAACAACCAAAACAAGTGAACAAAAGAAAGTAGAATGAAGAAGACTTACTTGTGTGTGGAATCTGGAGTTGGTACCCTTTGTCCCCCACTAGGTATGGCTTGATCCTATCGTCATATGCTAACACCACGGGCGATGTCAGCAGCTCCCTTGCTACAATCTTGTTCCTGAGGGTTGAATTACGAAAAACCCTCATGTCGTGGACGCGTCCTGAAAGCAAAAAGAACATTTTAGAACCATCCACAACACACAAAGAAACATACCTGGCCACCCAGCGTAGACACTGAGGAACCTCTTCTGGGCATCACAAACCCCTTGCAAGATGACCGAGTAACGCTGCTTCCGATCGTAGTAGCTCTTGCCGTCCAGTCTAGTAGGTCGGATGATCTCGGAGTACAGTCGATCGCTCCAGCAACATTAGGCAGTCGGGTTCCTATTGGTCATCAAAACTTATAACAATCCAAAAAACATAAGAAAATGTACCTGTCACTTGTCGAAAGCCAGCAGCAACAGCTCGAACCTCCTTGGCGGTTGAAGGAAAATGAATCTTGTACCTGAGACACTTGACAATCGCCACAGTAGTGTCCATGAAAATCTCATGAGCTGTGGACTCCCCGATGCCGAACTTGTCTGCCAGATCCAAGTAATCTGTGTTCTTGAAAAGCTTGTCCACCAGCACCACACTCCTCCAACCGGTATCGTGCTTCCGGATCTCGCTCTCCAGCATGCCACAAATGGTGAAGAACGTCCTCTTCACCATCTGAAGTTTCCTCTTCCACCTCCCCACATCGTAATACTCCAAAGAAAACTTACTCCAGGTGGTGACATTTCGAGGCTTCACCCACCACAGGCCGATGCAAAACCTCCTCCCAATCACAGCCCGACGAACCTCAAGTTCACGGTCTTCTTCCTCAGGCAGCGGGGCTCTTGTCATCCGCAATGTGCATTTAAACCCTAAAGCAAAAGGGTGAAAGATGCGCTGTGTCTTCGTCATGAGAACATGCTGGCTGCTCCTCCCTCCCCCGCAATCTTCGCGAGATGTTTTTCCCGAACGAGATCAATCAGGAGCATGGTCTCAGCATGGTTCCAGTTCTTTCCCCGGGTTCTCTTCGCAGCAGCAGGTGCAGCAAAACCCGAGGTATCCACAAACTGGACAGCCAGCTCCTCCATGTGAGCATCCGGATCTTGTTCCAGATCGGGGACGCTGTCATCTCCCTCTTCTTCATGACCCTGCCGGGAGCTTTCAATCACTCAGCATGCATGCAACCTAAGAAATGTAAACTCACCGCCATCTCTGTTTCTCAAAGCAGTTGGAGCTCCCGGCACGCTGTGCTCCAGGGGAACTTCCGGACGTGGCTTGGGCTCCTCCGGGCGCGGCTTGGACTCCTCCCGCTGTGGCTTCGGCTCCTCCCACCCAGGCTTGGCCTCCTCCTGGCGATGATCCATGGCCTCCTCCTCCCGGAGAAGAACCGCGGCGTCCTCCTCCTAGAGTAGAACCATGGCCTCCTCCTCCCGGGGCACCCCCTCCTCGAGCCGCCTCAGAACCATGGCCTAATCCTCCCGGGGCCATTCAGAGATCCGCGGCCAACCCCGGCCACCCGCGCCCTCCTCCCACTCCATGGCCACCTCTCCCTCCATGGGCACCTCTTCCTCCTCCTGTTGGTGAAGATAGAGCACGAGCAGGCCCAGATCCAGCTCGATCGGCCCCATTTCCCAGAGCTCTGTTTCCTCTTCCAACCCTAAAATCGGATTACCTGCTTCCTCCACCGCCTCAGGCCTCTCCTCATAAATCTCCGCGGCTGCTGCCACAGATCTTCTTCGCAGGCACGCCAAAGCCTTTTCTCAAATATTTCCGGAATAATTTTTAACAACTTCCCTTAAAATAAAATGACCCCAACAGTTAAGAATCCTCTAAATTCGCCTTCTTTTTCGTAAAATACTAATAATTTTCCCATAAAAAATAAGGGTAAGTACATTACTTTAGCTTAAGTTATTGTGCAAATAGGGAAAACGTTAATTTTGAACTTTAATTTTCGGGTAACTCTTGGTCCAGAGCTAAACTCTTATAAACATCTCTAAACATGCTCATTTAATTAACCACCAATGAACGGCAAAGATATCTTTACCAGCACTCCCCCACTAATTTTCTTTCGAAAATAAATAACTAAAAGCAAAGAAGATACTATCAAACACTATTTTTCAATGTTTGTTTTTTTTCTTATTTTCTACTATTAATTAACTTACAACTCAATCACACAATATTTGGAGGTGGAAGAATTGAATCCAACTTAATTTCAGCAAACTGAGAGGACGGACAATTTTTATTTTCATTTCTTTTGCACTTCTTAATTTACATTTCTTAATTTGTTTCTACTCTTCTTATACACATTTCTTCGGTGTATTTGGCCCATTATATTTAGCTGAAACACATGTACATGTACACTAGTACATTACGTACTAAGCCTATGATACACACTTGTTGCTAATTCTCAACGATTTGTGCATCTGCTGGTTGATACACACACACACACACTGTGTAGGGCTAGCTCCATCCACCTTGAGGTTGGGCACCAGAGGCTGGAAGAAGTCGTCACAGGAGAGAGCAAGCAGGTCACCACTCACGACAATCTCAAAAAATCTGGAAGGAAGACGTCGCCGAGGAACTGGTGAGTACGTCGCAAGAAACAAATGCCGTTGTCACCAGCTTCCACACGTCTTCAACGTGCTCTAGCAGCACAAACCCAAAGTTGGTCATGCCGCAAGCCGCCATCACCTTGCTCCCGGAACATGAGGCGGTATTTGCTATCAGCAAAGAGTTTAGGTACCGGCAAGTCTTCATACTAAGGCTTATTATCTGAATCTGGGCGCTCCGTTTTGGG